GGCAACTGTGAGAGAAACCCGCAGGTCTCCGATTCCGGGCACTGCCACCAAGAGGGAGAATACAAGGGAGGGCAACATCCTAACACTAGGAAAGATAGGGGAAGGGCTGAGCAGGAGCACAACCAGGGCCAGGAGATCCCATTATAAAGAACTCAGGCTCTGAGGATGAGACTGAAAGTCACAGACCAGCTGAGATAGAGGCTCTCAGTAGATGTAGTCTGGTGTTCACAGATTTAAATGAGAGAGTGTCACCCAGACAGAGGTAATAATTGAGACAGGTTCATTTGAATGACAGGTAGTCACTGAAAAGACAAGACCCTGATGGTTGCCCTGACTGACTGGTTTGGCTCAGTGGACAGAGTGTCGGCCTGTGGACTCAGAGTCCCAGGTTCAATTCCAGTCAAGTGCATGTACCTTGGTTGTGGGCACATCCCCTAGGGGGTTGTGCAGGAGGTAGCTCTTCAATGTTTCTAGCTCTTTATCTCTCTCCCTTTCTCTCTGTAAAAAAAAAAAATCAATAAAATATATATTTTTAAAAAGACCATGGAAAAAAAGGGCAGCCGGCTCGGGTGCGGCCAGGCCCGAAGCAGCGGCTGCCAGGCTGGGAGCGGCCAGACCCGGGGGAGCAGCCGGGTCGGGTGCGGCCAGGCCCGGAGAAGCCGCAGCCAAGTCCAGAGCAACTAGGTCGGGAGCGGCAGTGACCAGACCCGGAGCAGCTGGTTGTGGAACGAACCAGAGCAACAGAGGCCAGGCCCTGAGCAGCCAAGCCCAGAACAGCTCGCTCCTGGCCTGTCCCTGCCCCACGGCTACCAGACATGGCTGGAAACTTTCGCGGGAACTTGAGGGTCTGCTGAATCAAGTGATGAAGGCTTAGATCTGGATGTGTTGAGTTAGTATAGGGCTGGGGTGTTGATCTGTGAGTGCCTTGGGTGGGGCCTGGATGAGGCTGGTTGACCTAGTGGGAAATGTCTTTTGTGTGAAGTGTATCATTGGGCATGTGGAGGTATTATTGATATGAGAAAATGCTAAGTAACTGATTTACTATCTGAAAAAGGATTTACTATTGGGGAAAGGGAGGGAAGAAGAGACTGAACATAAACTGTGCACCTATGGATGAGGACAATGGGGGATGGGGAGGGGCTGGAGGGTGGGGTGGGAACCTGGTGGAGGGGGGAAGAACTGAGGAACCTTTGTAATGATATGAACAATAAAGATTGATTAAAAAAAAAAAAAAGACCATGGAGGTTAAAGGATGCTTCAGAGAAGTGGTATAGTGGTACAGAAGGTGGGCTTTGGAGAGAGAGGGAGAGTACCGTCCTAATCTCTCTCTTGCCAGTTACTGCAGGGGCAAGTTAGATTACCTCTCTAAGCTAACTTGTAAATTGAGGGCAATGGAAATTCCTACTCCAAGGTTTTTTGCAACTTAAATCATGCAATTTAATTAAAAGGACTAAGGCAAAGCCAAGCACCTGCTAATTGCTCAATCAATGTTGGTTATTATTATTAAAACTTTGTACAGAGTCATTAGCATGTCTTGTTTGAAAATGCCTTGTTTGAAAATGCCATGGTTACGGTATAAATCACAAAATAGAATGCAATTATGTTGTTTTCCAAAACCTTGTATTAGAAAAAATCACCTGGCCATGGATCTTTACTCTTTTTTCATGCGTTTTTTTTTTTTTTTAAGGAAGTGAACTTTTTAGCAAAATGTGGCACTTGGAAACCAGGTCTCAGTGCTATTTTGGACAAGCTTTAGGGAGACCTATTTTTAAATAAACAATTTTTTTTATTGTACTGATAGCTACTCAAGTGGGTATAGGACATACAAAACATGTATCATTTGTTTTAATAAAATTTTAATTTTAAGTGGGGCTTGTTGTCTAGGGGTGTATTTGTTCCAGGTTAGCTGTGGCCAGGCAAAGCAAGGAGGGGAAGGAAGGCCGTGCCAAAGTGGTACCTGCCCTCTCAGGTGGCTTGAGTGAAGTAATTGGCTTTATAATTCAGAGATGTCTCACTCTCAACCAATGTATTAGGTTTATTCACAGATTCCTGCTTCAGGCTGGGAGAGCAAAGGGGTTTTGAGGAGACAGGCTATCATATTTTTGCTGTAGAATTAGACACCATCTATCTGAAAATGGAATCTGTGGTAAAAATCTCCAAATCACTCTTCTCTTTGGATCCCCTCAATTTTCCCAAGACTTACATTTTTGGGAACAAATTAATAATACAATAGACATCATCTTCTACTAATTTTATTGCTCTGAAGCATAATGACAGAACTGTCCCTACTATTATATCATTTCAACCTGTCTTAAACCGCAGCACACAATAGAATTAACTAATAAAACTAACTTTATGAATGATTATTACTTAATTTTGAAACCTGATCAACTTATATAGGAAACTGTCAATTAGCCAAGGGGTACAGTATCTAGCTTAAGGAAACATGACTGATCTTCTAATTGTCCCAACATTAATTTTTATCATACTTCTTTCCTTATTTATACTTTTACCTGGGAGTATTAAAAAAAATGAAATTCAGTCAGATAACTGGTTATGATGTTACCAAATTCACACATGGTGAAAGTCCTGAACTCATTAGATGAAATGAACTTCCCATTGTCTATGGGTTTCATTAATTCAGTGATTCTCAACTTTTTTAATGCATCAGAATTCCCTGGATTGAAAGTTTTTAAAATCAGAGTTTTGCATGGGCCTGAGGAATTGTGTTTCTAACAGGTTCCTGGGTGATGCTTTTCCGGCTGGTTCCCAGATTGTTCTTTGAGAACCACTGCACTAACCCACACTTAGCCTCTTCTTTTCACATGAATAATCTAGAATTTTCTTTTCCCTAGCTAGCTATAAGAATTTAGGCTGTATGAACTAAAACTATCTGGGTTAAGCAGTTATTTTTGTATATGTGTATCTTATAACAGAGCGGTAAAGGAAGTAGTTACACTACCCATTTGGTTGATTTAATTCACAAAGCAAGTCCATTGTAGTATTTGCTGAATCAGAGTTCTAATCCACAAATCACTTTACATTATACTGAGGTCAAGGTCAATGTAATACTGACATTTAATTTTTTTTCCTCAGTGGTGAAATCTCACTTTTATGGTATTTCAAATAATTCATGCATAGAAAACATCTTTAACCCCCAATTATCTGACTCTATGGATATTTTGTTGTTGTTGTTGTTGCTGGAAGAATTGAGTTCATTTGTCATAAAATACTTTTCTTAACTTGGCATTATTTTATTTAACCTTAATTATGGATAGGGGACAGCATGTCCCTGGTCACAACTAGGGACACACTTTGGTCTCAAGAAATGACAGGAAGCTAAAGTGAGTGCAGGTTGCATCACAAAAGGGAAGTCACAGCATTGGGGGTCCCTGAGCTTGAACCCTTTGCTAATCATCTTGTACCCAGAAGGTTGAAGGCCTGGCTTTCAATTCTCTAATGCAGTTACAGTCCACCAATTACAGGTCTTACAACAACTGGGACCCATGTTACTTAGGAACATCCTTGGATCCCTCATTTAACTGTAATGAATATATCTCCTTAGTTGATTTTACAAGAACTTGGATAAGTGATCAAACTATGCTCAAGCGTCCCTGAGGCTAGAGTCCTAATTTTCAGTTCAGCTCTCATTTCTTTCTCTTCACTGGGTTACATGTAAAATTTTGGCTGAAAGGGAGTCTGGGAAATGAAGTTTTGATATTTTCCAGCATCCATGACTCAGGAAATAAAGGAAAAAGAAGGCTGAATCATATTAAATGGTCTATCTCAGTGGTTGGCAAACTCATTAGTCAACAGAGCCACATCTCAACAGTACAACAATTGAAATTTGAGGATCGAAAACTGACTTCTGTGCATAGGCCACAGAAGTTTTAATTGCAATTTCTGTGAGTGCCTGCACATGGTATTTTGTGGAAGAGCCACACTCAAGGGGCCAAAGAGCTGCATGTGGCTCATAAGCTGTGGTTTGCTGACCAGACCACTGGTCTAGCCTAGAGTACCACACTGTCTAACCAGCTTAAAGCAGAAAAGAGAAAGCCTTAAAAAAAATCCCTGGCCTGAGGATCTGGGGATGAGCTTCTGTACTTCCTCTGCTCTGAGTTTTCATTGTGTTTTTGAAACTATCCAGCCTAGCAGCATGGCAGTCTGGTATAGTAATACAGTCTGTGAGACTTCATCACTTATGCTGCATAAAACCATGGAGGTTACTAGGCCTTTGCTATTTTATAAAAAGATGACTGGCGCATGCAATGACAATAATTGCACTTCATAGATTGTTGTGAGAGCTAAATGGGGAACTACAATTATGTTTGGCACATAGTGCTAGATCAATATTTCATTAACACCAGGACCCGGGTCTCCCTGACCTACAGCAGCCTGGCACAATTATCGATATTCTTATAAGAGGTATAGTCAAGGCCTGGGAATAGGTAAATGGATACTCCAGCTTAATAAACACTTAAGCAGAAGCCAGAATACCCATGGGTGTTCCTCTGCTTAGCTGCCTGCAACCCTACCAATCCTAAACTGAAGATAGAGAAATAATCTATAAATAGATGTATACTTATGCTGGGAAAGGCATACAATTACAATGTAACCCCAATACCTTTCATTCTTCAGTGTCTGCCACATGCTTTTCAAACATTTGAGTGAATGTGCCTATTACCACCAATCAGCCTAATGTAGTAATATGAGAGACTCTACTCTGAAAAACATTAACATTGGAATTCTTACATGCTCAAAAGAGAGAATTTTGCTTTAGAGGTATCTAATAAGTTATGCATCATAGAGTAACTTTTTTTTCCCTTTTTACTTTGGGATAAGATAGATGGTTTTTATGTCCTATTCACCTTACCATGTAGTCATTTGATCCTTCGGGGCAGTGCTAAATATGCACAAGCAAAGCTTTGTTTTAACTGTGAACTTGTACCACCGTCTTGTGAATGTTGTGCCTTGACTAACCCAGGTGTATCTCACTCTAGCTGGACAGCGCGACATCGCTCATCCAGGCAGCGAAAAACCTGATGAACGCTGTTGTCCTCACTGTCAAAGCCTCCTATGTGGCCTCGACCAAATACCAGAAGGTCTATGGGACAGCAGCTGTCAACTCCCCTGTTGTGTCTTGGAAGATGAAGGCTCCAGAGAAGAAGCCCCTTGTGAAGAGAGAAAAGCCTGAAGAATTCCAGACGCGAGTGAGGCGAGGGTCTCAGAAGAAACACATTTCGCCGGTACAGGCCTTAAGTGAATTCAAAGCAATGGATTCCTTCTAGGACGATAGGCTTTACTAAGAAAGCCTTTTCTTTTCTTTTTTCCCCCCTTTCCTTTCCTTTTTCAATCCATTTTTTGTATGCATACCTGCCGACTCGTGTGCCTCCGGCATGGGGAGATTATGGGAGCAGAGTGTGTTTGCATGCAGGATGAGATGGGATCAATACCACTGACCCATCTGTAGGCCTGGAGAGGGGCAGGGAAGCCCTGTCCTGAGGTGGCACAGAGCTGTGCTTTGCAACATTCTCATACAATTTGGTGACGAGTTTGTATCGCAATGATTACGGGAATGGGAGGGAGGGGGAGATAAACTTAACGCTACCAGAGCAAATTCTAATGCATGCAGGAATCATTAGGTTGGCAGGTATATTAAGTGAAAAACCTGGAAGTGTTAATGGTAGAACATAAAGCTTGTATTGCTTCCATTTAAAAGCAAAACTGTCCTAGCCAGTGTGCAGCCCACAAATGGAACAACTGAACTCTCAAGTCCTATCCTTGATACGTGGATTTTTTTTTTTTTTTTTAACGAAGGGGAAACTAACTCCTCGAGCCTAAAAATGCTTCTTTTAATCTGTGTTCTGTTCTTTCTCTTCTAGTAGTGCCATTACTAGTGCTCATGCTATCGATTTTTCCCCATCACTGAAAACAATAAACATTTATTTGGGACAATTATAATTCTTCTGTGGGCACTGGAAGCACAATAGAGTGTTCAATCTTGCTTTTACCTTTTTTCAAAAAAAAAAAAAATGAACGATGATTTTGCTAGAAATAGGAGGCCCAATGGTGGGATGTTAGAGGAATGGAAACTGACAACGTGTAAAGGCTTAGAGGCAAATGCATAGGTGTAGCTTGGAGTGCTGGTATCGACTATGGCATTGTATCCACTAACTCAGAATAAACGCATTTAATCTTGACAATAGAAGAATGCTCTCTTTCTTTAAGTGCATATTTAATAATTTGAACATCTTCAAAAGTGATTAACATGTTTGTTTTTTAAAATTGGGGTTAAAATAGGTGATATGTAAAAAAAATATCTCTGAGGCAACCTAAGAGTCCAGGAATTTTTATATTTTCCATTTGTTTTTATTTACTTTCAGGCTGAATCTAAAATGAGAAAGTCATGTTTTAGATTTTTGTAGGCTATGTTCAGCCCTGGGCTAAATTGAAGAAACTTAATGGGTTCCCAAAGAGAAACTGAATCCAATATCTGCCCATTAATTTCAAAATATCTTATTCATTTGAAACAATTTTTAATCTAAATTGTGAACATAGGGCCTCTGTCTCATTACTAAGAAGGAGTGAGTAGTAATCTTTCAGCTATGACCAGAGGGTGAGAAAGGGACCCCAAATATTCATCTGAAAGCCTCCAAATCCTCCCATTTATTGATAAATGATCCCTATAGGTTAGCAAGTTACAGTATGTCTCCAGAAGACTCCTGGTAAAATATGTATGTGTGGCTTAGCAATGTGAAAACACAAGGGGACCAACTTGCATTAACTCCATGTAAAACCTCACAGAGAAGAGACAGAATTTATGGAACGAGAGAAGAATAGTCCAAAATCTTATTTAGACATGGTTCTGCTCAAACCACTGCCAACCACCATTGAGTGGTGAAATTCCATTCAGGTTGAGAACAGTCAGATGGAGAAGCCACAAAGCTAGAAGCTGATTTTTAAGACTAATCATTAGCTCACTATTTCTACAATCATGCCCCCTTAAGGTGTGCAGATCTAATACAGGCTATATATGACAAGTACACAGCTAACATTATACTCAGTGGTGAAAAGCTTTTCCTTTAAGATCAGGAACAAGACAAGGATGCCCAATTTTGCTGCTTTCACTCAACAGAGTATTGGAAGCCCCAATAAGAGAAATTAGGCAAGAAAAAGCATCCAAATAAAAAAGAGGGGACAAAAACTGTCATTGTTTACAGATGACATATACAGTAAGCTCTAAACATGCTACCAGAAGAACAACAACCAAAAACACCCATTAGGAATAATAAACTAAGTAGTATTGTAATATATAAAATAAATATACAAAAATCATCTGTGTTTCTCTTTCTCTACACTAATGAACTATAAGAAAAATAAATAAAACAATCTTAACTGCAATGTCATAAAAAAAGAATACCTGGAAATAAACTTAACTAAGGACATGAAATGAAAGAGATTATAAATAAATGAAAAGACACTACATGCTCATTGATTGGAAGAATTAATATTGTCCAATTTTCCTTGCTCCCCAAAGCAATCTATATACATATACATATACATATACATATACATATACATATACATATACATATGCATTGCCCCATGGGAGTTTGGGAGCTGATCACTCGCTATGACATGTGCTGACCACCAGAGGGTGGTGTGGAATGAAGGAGGACCTGGCCAGCAGCCAGAAGGCCAAGGGACTCTACCCCTGCCCAAATTTTAAGTATCAGGCCTCTAGTTTAGTATAATCACTATCAAATTTTCCAATGTAATTTTTTATAGAAATAGAACAAACAATCGTAATCACAAGAACCTTATATAGCCAAGTCAATCTTGACAAAGAACACTCCTTGATTTTAAACAACTATATAACAAAGCTATAGTAATCAAAATGGTATGGTATTGGCTTAAAAATAGACACACAGATTAATGGTCCAGAAGTAAACTTATGCTTTTATGATCAATTTATGATAAATGGGCCAAGAATATATATTGGGTAAATGACAACCTTTTCAATAAATAGAGGGTGGAAAACTGGGCAGGCAGTTTGAACTATCTTACACTGTACACAAAAATTAAAAGTGGACTGAAGAATTGTATGTAAGACTTGAAACTAAAAAATTCCTAAAATGAAAAATAGTAAGCTCCTTACCATTGGTTGGTCTTGGTGATGACTTTTTAAATCTGAAACCAAAAGCAAGGGCAACAAAACCAAAAATAAACTAATGGGACTACATTAAACTAAAATACTTCTGCATAGCAAATGAAAACAACAAAACTGAAAGAGCAACCTACAGAATGGGAGAAAACATGTGCAACCTTATGTTGAAGTACATTCCCTCTACTTTGTTGAGAGCTTTTATCAAAAATGGATGCTGACTTTTGACATTTTTACATGTATGCTTTAGAATCTCCGTTATCAAGTTTATTTATTGGTAACATTAATTTAGAATGTAATTATCATTTACTAGTTTCCAAATTCTACCTCTTCCAGTAATCCATATCCAAACACTTTAGTTCTCACTATGTTCTGACTTCTCCAGTGCTACATAGTAGTTATTTCTCCTCCCCATTCATTAGTCACATTATGATTTATTGGAATATCTATAAAATTATATGTACAGATGGGCCACCAAGCAAAGTGAGCATTAAAAGGACTGGGATTTTGTAAATTGTAATCCTAAATTTGCTGGTACTAGAAAGTAAGTCATTTGATTATTATTGCCATGCCATTACATATTAACTGAATCAAAGAGGTAAGTACTTATTCTGCTTGAAGATTATGGCACTTTTAAAGGTAAGGAAAACAAGAAGTTTAATTATAAAAAGCTGTTGTTAATAATTATCCTAATATATAAAAACGCTGTGTTGTAATGCGTAGTAATGACTGGAGGCTGACCAACCAGAAGTCAATGCTGGCCCCCAAGCAAGCAGTAAGGGATAATCAGGCAAGCAGGCAGACGGGTTATGGGTGATCAGGTAGGCAGCCCAGCAGTTAGGGGTGGTCAAGCAAGCAGGCAAGCAGTTAAGAGAGATCATATAGGCAGATGGTCCCTTGCTGGGCTGGCCCTGACCCCAAGCAAGTGTATAGGGGCAATCAGGCAGAGTGGTTAGGGGTAATTAGGTTGACAGACAAGTGGTTAGGGGTGATCAGGTAGGTAGGTGAGCAGTTAGGGGTGACCAGGTAGGCAGATGGCCCCTCACAGGGCTGGCTCCACCTGCCAGCAAAGAAAAAGGGAGACTTAAGCCAGCCAAGCTATTGTACCCAAGCCTATCTCCTGCAAAGGGAGGCCACTGGTGGTAGGGGAGGGAGGGGGCAGCACTGCACAGATGGCAAACAGTGACAGTGTGGGGAAGGAAAGCCCTGATAGGCCCTGATGCAAGGCTAGGAACTCTACCCAAGGGGCCCTGGATTGTGAGAAGGTGCAGGCTAGACTGAGGGTTTCCCCCACTTCCAAGTGCATGAATTTTCATGTGCCAAGCTTCTAGTTTTAAATAATTCTAGTTCTGTGGAGTGTCATTAGCTAGATGGTAAACTAGGAAGCTCCAGTCCTTTGCCACCCCTCCCCCATGGAAATACAAATGAATGACATAGTGACCAAAGTAGCGTTGGGGTATTCTAGAAATCAGTTGAGGATTTGTAACAGCCTAGTGGATGTCTAACTAAAAATAAATAAATAAATAAATAAATAAATAAATAAATAAATAAATAAATAAAGCAAATTAAAAGTAATCACACTCAATATTGAATAAAATTTTTGGACTTGCCTATGTCCTTCCCTTTCTCTGGCATAGCATGGTCAGAAGGAGCTGCCCTATTTCTGGTTTTTCCCATGTCACTGAAGGAAATGAGCAAAAATTGTTTGCATTGTTCTGAACTCTCTGGAGACACCCAGGGGACTGCTTTCTATCTTCCCTAATTTGGATCACTGGTGGAAATGGTGGCATATACAAAGAAGGGCACTGCATAATAATAAAAAGGCCAGTGCACCGAGAAGATATAATAATTATAATCATCTATACATCAAACATAAAAATTTCTCAATATATAAAACAAGCCTGGATAAAACTGAAATGAGAAATATCTCTAGAATAAATATAAGGAAATATCAATACCCCACTTTTAATAATGGATAGGACACTTAGACAGAAGATCAATAAGGAAATAGAAAATTTGAACAGCATGATAGATGAGTTGGATCCAACAGACATACACAGCATACATATTTTTTTCTAAAGTTCAGATGGAATATTCTTCAGAATAGTACATATTTTAGGCCAC